GTGGGTAGGAATAGGTCGAACAGTCAGATAAATTGTGAGCTAAAACTAAATGAAATTAGAACTATATAAATAGTAAAATACTTACAATTAATATTATTATATTAATATTTAAATTAAAAACAACACAAGTATCATATCAAGAGCTTATTTCTCTTAAAGACCCACACCTGTAAATGCCTTACAGATACACAGATAAACAGCTAGCAGACAGTCACACAAACAGCTGTATCCAATCTCAAAAACAGAAAGCTATAATTTAGTAAGGTAGCGCTGAGTCCCGAGGTTTGTTTACTGACAGTCTCGGTCTCACCAAAAATGGCGGATGTTCTCGTCTGCCATTGCCATCTACCGTAGGGGCGTAGGTCAGGGCAGGCAACTCTCACCAACCATACTTGTGGACTGGGATGCAGTGACGATATCGGCCTACGGGCACCAGAGTTCGAATCTCAAGAGTTTTTTTCTTTTTAATTGTAACGGTTAATTATACTATACATTTGAAATAATGTGACAAGTTAGTCGTCGACAGTTATGCAATCAAAGAAGAAAATCTGAGCCTTTGAACTTAAATAATTTTGTACCTCGGTATACGCCCATATCAGTTCCAGATCATTGGGTGTATACCAAACAGGACGTATACTAAATAAACTTCCCTCACACGTTTATAAGGGGGAAATGATCCATCCGTTCCCATTAAAAAAATCGTATTGTTATCGGCATATAATGACAGGGACTGTGTAAAATAATATTAACACTGCTTTATATTTAAAAAAAAAAAACATAAATACACACACAAAAAATTCGGTTAAATAAATGACAATGTATTCTCCCTTTACCTTGCTGAAAAGAGTCGAGTGCCTACTAGGATGGTGTTTAGAGGGGAAGAGGAGGATGTGTTACTGTTGTTGTCTAAATCCGAAATTCTCTTGGTTTTTCTCCCTACTTGAACCTGGCTGAGGCTCACTGTGTTTGTCTAAAGAATTTTGCTTTTGCCTTCTCCCCGTGATGTTTCCGGAATGTGACATTCTCTGGTCATTCCAAACAATGCTATTACGACGGGGGGAAAAAGACGTTATTCTTACACGACCTGCATTTGTTCAACAACAAACAACAATTTTACGGTAATTTAGGTCTGTGTGAGTACGAAACTATTGCCGATACGCAAATGACCGGTGTGGTGCTGTAGGCGTGCATATATGTCAATGTAGACGGTTCGGCCCCGACAGACACCGATATAGCAATACTTCCTTGGTTTCCCGATTGTTGCAGGCTGGCCCATGGTGCTGCAGGCGAATTCAAAGAGTAGCTGAAGACAAATATTTTGCTTCTGCCAGACGGTGGCCGTTGCATTTTTGATCAATTTGTAGACTGAAAAGATACAGTTTTGTCGCGCCAGCTACTGAGTTGAGTGCGTGGCGCGACCCTATGAGCTGCGGATTTCATTTGGAATGTTTTTCGACTGTGACCAACGTGGTGTTGCGAACTGTAGCTTCAAAAAATGGCGCGTGGACTGTCGCGGCAATATTGGTGGTGCCCTTATGTGATTAATTTTGATCGCGTGCGCAACTGCTGATCTGTTGGCGACTTCTGCTACCGTCGATGATGAACTGCATTTCTAATGTCAAACAGTTTGTGTTAGCACTTCTGATGGCTACCGTATGCTTTTAATGCGCGTGTATGCTAGTGCATATGCTGAGACAGCAGTCTGTCAATCTTTCCACAAGGGACTGCGACGAACATTCTGTGTGTTTTTCGTTGCTACAGGAGCGGAGCAACTATGGGGTGACTCGTTTGCTTTGAAGCTGAAACTAAGATTATCAAGATTACAACAAATTTCAGCTTTAGAATGGAGGTGATGGTGGTCACTGTCGCTTCCCGCTGGCTAGAAAAACACCACCCACCCACCCCCCACACACACACACACACACACACACACACACAACGGGATTGTAACTGACTCAGAAAGCATGCTGAAAAGGTGAGGAAAGGCTGCTTCGTTCAAAGTGGCATTTGTTTGTTTGTTTTGCCTTGGAGGTCATTGGTGAAGAGCATTATCTGGATCTTTTCTCCTGAAAACCCGGTATGTTGGGAAATGAACATGTGAACAGACTGGCTGGCTTTGCGTGACTTGGTGGAATATTAATGAATAATAAGTTCGACGTTGCTAAGACATTATGGGAGAACGTTTACAATTCGGAACAGCAAACTGACCATTACAGCCTGGAGAGAGAGGGTGATGCAGTGAGGAGTGGCGAGGGGATGTGACGGATACTCGACGCTCAGAGGAAAGGCGAGACGAACATATATGTAGACTGCTACTGGCATCATTTGTATTGGAACTCTGCCCTGGCTACTGAAGAAGTTCAAGGAGCGTTTATGGGAAGCCCCGAGTGCTGTGTTTTTTGTTCTTGAATCAACTTCGCTTAACACAGCTCAACTCTGTTCTAGCTTGCTTTGGCTTTGTTGGGTGGTATATCTCTGCAAAGTTTGACATCCATCCATTTGGCAAGAATGCCCTTGATCGATGAAAGAGGTAAACAGTGGTTCGCGCGGTGACTCATTTTGACTCATACAGGTTATAGCATGCGAGTGGTATTCAAAATAAAGGTCGTCTACCAAGCATTAGCACTAGACCGAACATATACCAAATTAAACGTATACCGGAGCGAACGTGTACCGAGGTACCACTGTATTACACAGAGAGAAAGAGTAAATTCCATAAACGCTTCGTCTCCAGTTAAAGCAGCAAGCGTAGTTCCAATTTTCCGATGGTACCAGTAGGAGCCTGACTGTATTTCCGTCTTGCCATTCCCCTGAGTATTGAGATATTCTCTGAAATTCATGTTTAAAAAAAAAATAATAATCTTAAAATCAAAGCAAATTGGCTTGTAGACAGTGTCGGGTCTTGGAAAAGCGGAAATATGTTGGCCATATTAAATAGCGGTTGTTTTAGAACGAACAGTTACTGCTGTTGCTCCTTCTTTCTTTTCTTTCTTCTTATTTTTTTTTTTATTATTCCTTTTCCTCTTTTACTGATTTTCCTGTCGAGGGAGATATAAGGTTCTCTGTATTGCCACATTGACAATTGACATAGAGTGCTGTTATAGAGTGTTTTTGGTGTTATTCTTCCATTTTGCTCTTGGTCTACCTCTTGTTCTACGTTCTTCTCGTCTCCTAATGTATGCTCTATGTGGTATGGCGTCACTACTACTACTGCTGCTGCTGATGATGCTGTACTATTGTGATCCCTATATTATCTAAGAATATGCGTGTGTGTGATCCTGTGTGAAGTTGCTTATTTTTTTTCAGGGCAACGTAATGTTTAAATATTCTTTACTATCTTAGATCACACAAGAAATACACGAAATTGAAAATGTCACAAACTTTGAATATCTAGGCTCTATAATAAACAACAATGGATACTGTTCGACAGAAATTAAAAGGAGGATGGCCATAACAATGCAAAGATTGAACAGCCTTTAAAGTCTATGGTTAGGCACCAGAAGGAGATAAAAATTAGAATTTTGAGAGCATGCATCTTCCCTGTGGCTACATACGGATGTGAGTCGTGGACTATCTCTCAGTCCTTAAGAAAGAGAATAGGGGCTTTTGAGCTGAAATGCTTTAGAAAGATTCTCAGAATATCTTGGACAAAGAAGATGAGAAATTTTGACATCTTAAAAGATCAAGGAAGATTGGCTAATAAACAGCATCCTTTCTCGAAAGCTGAAATAATTTGGTCACATCAAGCCCACGACGGATTGAAGAAAATTATAGCAGAAGGCATGGTACCAGGAAGGAGGGACAGAGGCCGACCGACACGAAGATGGGCACAGGATATAAGTGACTCCTTGAGTGTGAAAAAGTTCATGAGGCGAGAGAACTGGCAAGAGACCGAGTTTCTTACAGGCAGACTGCGATGAGAGCGACGTTCTGCAAAGGACCTGCTACATGATGATGATGATGGTCTTAGATCAGAATCTAAAATATCAGTTTTACGTGACGCTTATTGCATTACAGTTTGTCCACTCCAAGATTGTAGTCCACAGGATTAACACCCCAAGGATGAGACTCTTATATAAACAAATTCCGGTTAGCCCCGTTCAGCCGTGAAATTATATAGGGGGGGGGGAGAGGGGCTTCCGAAGGCTATGAAGTGACCTCAAGTTTGGACCAAGTCCGAAAATAGCTACAGCTGGACGTGGTCTCGACTAGGCATGGATGGGAAGAACGCGACAATTACATGTTTTTGTAAATGTGGACCAAAAGTAATTGTCCTTATATGGTTAAAGACAATAGACAGTAGATTGGCTGGACTTAGCCAGCACACTGCAAAAACCCTGGCATGGTTGCGCCACGTAAACTTTTGACCAAGATGGCGCCGCCCATACAACAACAAACCGGGCGTTACGGTCAGCTGACAGTTGTTAAGTTTGTATTTATTTTACTGTTGGCAGTGACTTTTTTCCAAGTCATAAACACAAGTGAATTCAACAAACTGCATGACGAACAGGTCAAGGATAGTCACGATGCGCCATCTTTTAATTATAATCGTGACGAAAAAGTTCGATTTCAAGAAGTTAACGGACTTACGACGAAATCGACGCAGATCGCTACGATATTCAGAAGAATAATAATGATAAAGATTCTTTTGAAAAAAATAAAATTCTCGAAAAGCACATTCAAGAAGAGATAAGTGATGCAACAAAACGCTTGGATGTATCAGGAAGAACTCGGTACAGTCATGGTAATGGCAAGTTTGGGCCACGTCATAACGGTCAGCTGAGCAGCAAACCTGGTCAAAGTCCGAACTATGATGGAGATATCCTTGAGTTTCTCGGACCATGCTGGCTGAAAGCTATCACGACCACAGCTGTAATTAGCACATCTCCGCTACTTTATTGTTGTTAATACCTGTGGAGAATGCAGAGACACATAAAAAGCTGCAGAAAGTTCTCCTTAGTTTTGCAACAGGTAGTTTCTTAGGAGATGCCTTTTTCCACATGATCCCGGTTGCTGTTATCTCCACTGACCAAGGTGACAAAGAGCTTCTGGCCCATGGGCACAGCCATGCAGATGGACACAGCCATGGGCATAGCTTTCATAGTCATGACATGGCCGTTGGAATGTGCATTTTGTCTGGTATTATTGTCTTCCTCGTGGCCGATAAATGTGGACAGTTTTTAAGATACAGGTGTTGTAGGGAAACTGATCATGAAAATGTTTCATCTGATAGTCACTTGTCAAGCACAAGTAACTCTTCGCCTGGTAATAAAAGTAGCACAAAGAAGCCAGGTCATTCTTTTAATGATAAGAACAATAGCACAAAGAGGGTTGACAATAATTCACTGGAGAAGACAAATCGCAGAAAAATAATTGATAGTTCTTTTCCAGAGAAGAAAAATGGTAAAAAAGCTATTGAAAACACAGAGAAGAAAAACAGTGCAAAAAGGGTTCAAAATTTGTCACCGGACAAGAAACTTAGCACAACAAATGTTGAAAATTCTTCGCCAACAAAGAATAATGGCACTACATGGAATGATAATTGTTCTCAAGAGAAGAAAATTAAGTCGGCGAGAGTAGAAAACTTGCCCTATGAAAAAAGAGTTAAAGGAAAACATGTACAAAATTCTTCTGCAGAGCAGCATAGTACAAAAATTGTGGAGGATTTGTCACTTAGGAAGAGAAAAGGCAAAGGAAAGCATAATAACCATAAGAGTCAAGGCAGAGCTGGTGTCAGTTTGTCCTGTATAGATACAGCATTAGAGTATGACGTAGTAACAAATCAGTCATACAGCGAAGCAGAGCTGTACAGCAAAGATGAGCATAGAGGTCAAGAGAAGACGGTGTTATCAAAAAACCTGAAAAACAAAGAAGCTGGTGAGTAATATAATATTTTATGTTTGATTGTAGTTTATTTATTAGACGGTTCAATTTCCAGTAGACTCCCAAAACACCTAAAATAGTATAGAGCACACCTAGTTACTCGAAGAAGTGGCCGTTTCTGAAAAATTATGCATTTCTGTATTAGTTGCGATAAAAACCTGCCATCATTGATTACTGGCTGTTCAGACATGACATGAAAGCCGACACGCATGATCCCGTCAGGAGACTGCCAGAAGGTACATGTTTTTAGAAAAAAGACATTCGCTTAGTGAAAATTATTCTAATTTTTAGAATACTGTCATTACATTTCTGTAATAACTTTGTTTAGGCTTTCCACATTCTCTGTTGTGGTATTTTTGAATTCTGCAATCATTTTTACACACCATTGTGATGTTTGAATTAGAAGTTTTTTTTTTTAAATTTTTAATTGCATTTTTTCGTGAACACGTCTTCTAGAATTAGTAATATTGCAACAAAATAGCAGACATCATGAATACAAAATCGGGTACTCCTGTCAAATCCGGACATTGACTAAAAAGCCTTGGACGACTTAGTCAGAGTTCTCTCCCTTGGCCGCACTGCAAACAGTGATCGGAAAATCCAACGAAACAAAGAAGACAGTCACGTCGACATCAGGGCTACCAATGCTTGGTTGTTTCCCCCAGATCTGGGTTTTTTTTCGACGCTGCAGGACAATTCTGGTTTTTTTGGGTGTGTTTTGTTTGTTGGTTTTTGCCGATTTGTATGCTTTAATGATCGATAAATTTGCGTGGTTAGGGGTAGGGGCTAGGGAGTAGGATTAGGGTTAGGTTTAGCGTTAGATTTGACAATTTTGACGCCGGAGTTCCCTATAATCGCGCACAGTCCCATACACACACAAACAATCTAGGGCCTCTGGATGCTGGTCAAACGTACATTTCGCCAACGATTGGGGGCACCAGCCGCACGCTATTGGCGTCATATTTGGGACAGTTTCAGTGGCGCCACTCCCACAAACATCAGATTGTCGGCCAGTATTTCGAAATCCTACGTCAAAATTTTCACATCTAACCCTAACCCTAACCCCAACCCTAACCCTAACTCTAACCCTACCCCTAACTCAAACCCAAACACTACGCATCCCTACACGCAACCGTATGATGACTACGCATCCCTTCACGATGCCTCACGCAACCGTACGCACCCCTGCAGGCAACCGTATGACTACTACGCATCCCTTCACGATGCCTCACGCAACCGTACGCAGCCCTACACGCAACCGTATGATGATAGGTAAGTGTGTTGTTTGTTTCTTTGGCTTTTCCGATCACTGTTTGCAGTGCGGCCAAGGGAGAGAACTCTAAGTCGTCCAAGGCTTTTTATTCTTCGTCCGGATTTGACAGGAGAGCCCAAAATCGTGTCTGTTGAATATTGATGTTTGATAATGCTTATTATCTGGGCACATAAATGTTCACATAATACAATTTTAAAATGAAATAATAATTTATCTTTTTAGTTTTATGACTTTTAATAAATTTAAATACCTCAAAATATCATTATGACTAGTTTTCTGACATCTAATGGCTCAACAATTTTCAAGTTAAAGCTAGACAGAGTAAATTAATAAAAACAAAATAATGTGATTCAGTAAATGCCAACATACTATTGTTACATTTTTTTTAATCTGTAACCACTTTAGTTATTAATGCATAAATTAAAATTGTATGTGTTGCCTTTTTTTGGGTTAGATTTTCTACCATGCTGACCCTCACATTAAATTCCACAGTAACCCATATTTTCAAAATGGCCCTGATTAAACTGGAGATCTCATATTAACTTAATTTGAACAGAAGTTTAGAACAATTTCTGTTAATTGATTTTTATTTAAAATTGTTACGTGAGCATACAAATAATTATATGCAACCTATTTTTTGTTAAAAATTAATTTTAAATTGCATTTAAGCTTTTAATATTCTATTTTTAATTTTTATAAATAGCTGTCTGCGTCTGCTAGGGACATTTTTGCCTGACGGCCTCTACGCTCAGAAAATGAATTTCTTTCATCAGCAGCATAAAAAAATTTTTTATATTGTAATGTCAGGTATATTACATGAACTAGCCAGATCACATCGGACTTAGACACGTTAATAAAGTATAATGTTCTTTTTTCTTTTGCCTTATTAAATACTGCTTCACAAAACGACAAGGTAAAACCAGGGTGAATCACAAAAGAGCTTATTTAATAATTTTATTCCATTAAAACACAGCTTTGAATCACAAATTGGGTGCGAGTGGTGACCTTAGATTAATCTGATTATTCTCTCCTTTCTGGTACCATGCCTTCTGTTATTATTTTGTTCCAGTTGGACATGGCGCTTGATATGCTCAAAATATTTCAGCATGTTGCATGGAGAGGAAAATTCAGGAAGGAAAAATAATAGTAAAGGAGACAGTATTCGCAGATAGATTTAGTGCAGTGCGTCTGAGAAGAAAGCACGATAAATAGATGCAATGGCAGCAGTGATCCTGAAATCTTATGCTCTCATTGTAAGATTTTTCTGAATGCGAGCAGGTCTTATCAGCCACACTCATCATCACCATGGGCTGGGATTCCCATGCCTCCCTATAATACAGTATAAAGCTGCTTTCTGGAAAGACGGAAAAGTGCCAACATATTGTGGAAGGGGGGGGATAATCATGAATGTTCACATTTATCAGCATGGCACATGATAGTGGCAAGTCTTAGAATACATTATGTTTGTATAACATATCACCGAGAGGGCAAATCAGGTCAACAAATGCCTGCAGAAGTTGGAAGTGTCGGCCATAAGGCACAGATATCTGTTTTATCTTTCATAGTTGTGACACTTGGGTATTTTTAGTGCACACCAAAATATGTGGTATCTGAGAAAGTCCAAGAGTTAGGTGTGTTAGTCAGCAGGTTAATACCAAAAAAAAATATGTAAACTGATAAAAAATACATTTATATTATACAGACTTGGTTAGGATAAATTACCTGTTGTTTTAATCTTTTTTTTTTTCAACAGTATCTGCTGGTTTTATTCCTGATATTAAAGTTACCGGCTATTTGACTTTGGCAGCAGATTTTGCCTACAACTTCACAGATGGCCTGGCTATTGGAGCCTCATTTATGGCGGGAGGCAATATAGGAACGGTTACAAGTCTGACTATATTCGTGCATGAGCTTTCTCATGAAATTGGGGACTTTGCAATCCTTGTACAATCTGGTTATAGCAAAGGAAAGGTACAGTCACACAGCTGTTTCAGTTTTATACCTTTTCATTGTTGTCAGCTTCAGAATCATCGCCATCTTAGCCACTGCTGTCAGTTTAACTAGTGAACTGTGTGCTACTTGTAGCTACCTCTTCATGTTTGTTCTGAGGCAACAGTTTGGAGATGAAAGAATAGACAGTTGCCCCCAGCAAACATGTCGTAAGAGGCAACAAATTAGGGGTGTGTTCTTCAAATTTGGAGTGCATCTCCTGAAAGTCAAGAAACTAACAGGTTTTCATAGAACTAAGCCAGATCTGTAAAACAGATGTGCATGCACAAATCAAATTCTGGATCAAAACCAAAATCTGGGATTGGATGAACAACTAGAACTTTCCACTGGAGTTTACAGCTGGTGAATGCTAAGAAGAAGTTACTAAGATATTGCCTAGATGTTGCCATATCCACACAGGTGGGCTCTAAGATATTGCCTAGAAGTTACCATATTCACACAGGTGGGCTCTAAGATATTGCCTAGAAGCATATCCACACAGGTGGGCTCTAAGATATTGCCTAGAAGTATATCCACATAGGTGGGCTCTAAGGCCTAGAAGTTACCATATTCACACAGGTGGGCTCTAAGGCCTAGAAGTTACCATATCCACACAGGTGGGCTCTAAGATATTGCCTAGAAGCATATCCACACAGGTGGGCTCAAAGATATTGCCTAGAAGTATATCCACACAGGTGGGCTCTAAGGCCTAGAAGTTACCATATCCACACAGGTGGGCTCTAAGGCCTAGAAGTTACCGTATCCACACAGGTGGGCTCTAAGGCCTAGAAGTTACCGTATCCACACAGGTGGGCTCTAAGGCCTAGAAGTTACCGTATCCACACTAGTGTTATCCTTTACTGCCTCTTAAAGTTCTCCATAATGTCCTTCCTACATTCTTCATCTCTCTGGAGGCTGTTTGTCTCATTCTGTGAAGATTGCGGTTTCATTTCCTAAACTGCACTGTTATGTTTATGAGTGCCGTTTTTGCCAAGATCTCTGTGGATGGTCATGAGAGCTAAGGAATTGGTACAGTGTGCGACATTCTCAGCATGGGGCTAGCTGTTCTGCTGAGAGACCAAGCCATATGGAATATAACTCGGTGTCGTGAAGTTGATCCATGTGACTTTAATTCTTCATGTGTCCCTGTATTTCTCTTTCCCAGTAGATTCTAAAGGAAGTACTTTCTTGTTGTGCTAATAACAGATTTTCTCAGTATGTATATGTTTCATTTCCAGTATCTTGTCCTCACCTGCAGATTTACTGGAATTTGCAAAGTTTTGCTGTTTTTAAACTTCTCACAATATTTCAGTGTTTTGTTTTGTTTTAAATATTTTGTTAGGGCAAATCTTTTATTAGCTGATATCTCATCTTCCGTCAGACACCATTATGTAGCCTTTATATTAAAAACAGCTTAAATTAAGCAGACACAGACAGTATATTGCATAGTCTAATGCATGGAATATATTACACCGTCTTGTCAAATACCTTACTACAGAGCTGTTGTTGGCACTTTTCCTTCTTTCCACATATATTGTGAAGGTGTGGAAATCACAGCCCATGGTGACGGCGGGTGTGACTAGCAGGACCAACCCACGCTAAGACAAGTTTTCTACAGTTGAAGCATGGGCAACCCTGATCAGTGCAGTACAGAGTTTCTACAAAAGCTGCAGAAATTATGTAAGAACAGCAGACCAAAGTCAGAAAAATTTAAGACCACCAGCGGTGTTAGACAAGGTGATATTCTCTCACCTTACCTCTTCATTCTTATGATGGATGATGTCATCAAGACCTGTAAGGAGAAGACAAAGAAGTACTCAGTAGGGTACTGGAAGATGAGACCAATCTGTATATCAGAGCTGGCATTTGCAGATGATGTGGCCCTGATAGCTAAATCAGAGGCACACCTTCAGTCCAACTTACTTGTCTGGAAAAGAGAGGGATGACCATCAGTATCTTCAAAACTAAAACTATGGTGATCTCAAGAGAGGCGAAGAAACACTAGATCATGATGGGACAGTATGCATTGGAGCAGGTTAACCAGTTCAAATACCTTGGAGTTGTATTAGACCGAAATGGAGGCATTAAGACTGAGCTGGCTACACGAAAACTAGCTGCTGGGAGACTCTTCCAGGCCATAAACAGAGGGTTTTCTGAGAAAGGTGGTCCAAGTGACAAGAAGGGACAAAGTCTGCAATCAGACAATACGTCAAGATCTTGATACCCAGTCCTTACAAACCTGAGTGGATCAGTCACAGTTACGATGGTTTGGACATGTATGCAGAATGGGAGAAAATCGGCCACCGTGGCAGGCATGGGAGGCTAAGAACCAGGGAATCAGACCTCCAGGACGACCCAGGGTGCGCTGGGAAGACAACATCCGACAGTCCCTAACTGACAGAGGACTGGAATGGAACAAAGCCAAAAAGAAAACTGCTGATAGAGACGTCTGGCGATCTCTCTGGCAAACCTCTACACCCCAAGGTAGAAGAAGAGCGACTAAGTAAGTAAGTGAAGCATGGGATTTTTGGACCATTGATGCCATAACATTTATTTAATATGCTTATCAGCTTTTCTGCAAGCATTTTAACCTTTATTCCACTTCCCTTCCTGATTTTCTCCCCTATATAATAATGTCCTTGGCATTTTGTTTCCATGTTTCTACCTCAGTAGCCACAGAATTACATTAACGTATAAGGAAACACAAAAATGAATCTTTGCTGCCACTCAAATACACAATTGAAAACAATAGTTTTTAATGGAGGGGAATTTAGAGACGCACATTAATTGGGAGGGGTGAGTGTCATGAACTGAAAGAGTTGAGGGCCTCTGATTTAATGCTCACTACACTCAGAGGAAAGGCAAGATGGACATATAACCAGATTGTGACTGGTACCATCAGTACTGGAACTCTGCACTGGCTGCTGAAGATGAGGACGGAGCATGCATGATAATGCCCCGAGTGCTGTGATGTCAGTTCTTGACTCAACTGATTTAATGAATGTACTTATCTTCCACAGGCAGTGTTACTTCAGTTTTTGACTGCTTTGGGATCATTGCTGGGTACAGTGTACAGTTTAACCCTGCATGAAACCACAAGGTCCGCAACATCGTGGATTTTGCCTTTCACTGCTGGCGGCTTCATCTATATAGCCCTAGTCTCTGTCATTCCTGAGCTTCTGGAAAAATCCAGAACATGGCAGAGTATTAAAGAAATCCTGGCTATGATAGTGGGGGTGTTTCTAATGGTGCTGGTTGCCCTCTATGAGTGAAATTATTATTATTTGTAGAGCACAAGTGAAATATTTTTGTTTTACTGTTGAAATTATCTGTGGAATTATTTATTTCAAGTTTCATTGAGTTGTCATTGCTTATTAATTTCATTTTCAAAGTAAACTAAAATACTCATTTCAAGGTGATGGGGGGGGGGGGGGGGGGGGACTACTGAGTGAGATATCAGTAGTTCTGTGGTTGAAGGCAGTACTGTTTTTCTTTGGAAGTTGAGTGAAAATGTATCTCGAAAGATTTTATATGAATTTTTAATTTGAGTGATATTTAAAAAAAAATTTATTGGCATAATTTTAAAACATGAACTGTTTGAAAGTATTGTCTTAAAAAGTGTATGTATGAAAGAATTTTTAAAAAACTGATTTTGTGATATTATTTTTTATGGGGTAATCAATTAAAATAATTTTTGATACACAAAGTTACTTTTTTTATATTAAAGGTAAAATTGTTATATTGATATAGTTAAGAACATTTTGTAGGATTATATTTTTCTTGGACAGCCAAAATGCATAATCCATATGTTTGTTCCAAAAGTGGCTAACGCAGAAAGAGAACTTATCATAAACATCACAAAGGTGCAGTCGTCATTTTTTACCCGCATTATAAAAAAATAAAAACTAGAACATGTGATGATTTATGGAAAGAAATATTACAATTCTGGAGTCTTTTGCCATGGCATCCAAATTGATCTCTTTTGTTGGAGATCTCCAGATGTTTCAAAGCCTGATGGCCATGCCAGATAGGAAAACACCTGATGTTGATTGTAAGTTGGTGAAATTATTGTATTCTTTACATGGGTAACATTACTGTTTAATAGATGGTCCCTTAAAAGAAAAAAACACCTATGATTTTGTTTTGCATAAACAGTAAATTCTCTTTTCTAAAAAAAAATTGGACAGATATTATATTTAATATGGTTAGGATGTTGTAAAATTATTTAATGGCAAGAAATTAAGTGAAATTAAGATTTAAAAAGCAGTACTTTTATTAATGATCCTTGAAAATCCATAGGTACAGATCCATTATATACGTATTTGGTGCTACAGCATCACTCCCAGTTGAACAAATAACAGCAACGAAGCTGCAATATAATGATAAATATTTAAAGTGTAAACTGATTATAAAAATATGGCAACAGTTATTCTCTTGTCAAGTTATTGCATCAAATAATTTTCTTTCATTTTCAAGAATTAGTTTTTGTAAATTTTTTGTGGTAAAATTATTAATAATTATTTTTAAAACACCATAAAAAAGAGGATATGTGTATGATGAACAGTGTGATATGAATTTTTATGTGTATTTTTATTGCATGAAACTATTTTTCCTTTTATGAAAGGATGATTGCAACAACAACAACAACAAAACGTGCATGTTATAAGTTTGTTGAGGTTTTTATGTGTATTTTTCCCATGACATTTTTTTTACTTTAAAAGGGTTGCATTGTTTAAAATGTGATTCACTGTCCTTTTTTTGTTTAAATCCACAAAATGTGATGCTATCTTATAAAAAAAAAACTCTGTGACTTGATTATTTGTGACCATTGAGAGACGACCTTTGAGAGACTTGTTTGACTTTTGCTATTGCTATTTAAGCAAGTTTGAGTTTATTTCATAAAGAGATTAATGAAACTACTTTTAAAGAAACCGAGTGTGTATATTTTTCAAGTGATCAGACACATTACTTGTTTCAGGATTGATTGATTTCATGAATACAGTAAACGTTTGATTAAATGCACCGACAAAAGAAAGTGGCTGCTTTTTAAGGCAAAAAAGTTTTATGTATAATTTGACAGGAAAGAAGTTTATTAATCTTGTAACGATTTTAATGTGATAAAAAGTTGAATACAGTATACAGGGAAAACAGTCTAAATAGTCCCATAAGACACACTGCTGTTAGTATGTGAAATCTTTAGCATCACAGGTGAAGTGAGGTGGCAAAATCCTATCATTTTTTTTTTCTTCTTCTTTTTTTCTTAATAAGACTGGCCCCCCTAAGAGCTTTATTGATTGGACAGACATATTATTCACTATACAATTAAATTGTAGGTGAAAATATACATTAATATAAAGACTGCATAATGATTTCTTCTGTGTTCACCCTCAATAGGGTGGCTGACACATTGTGTTGTGGTTTACAGCTAGGCTGTGGCATCTGCATCCTTCAGCCCAACACATCAGATTTCAGCAAATCCCTAATTAGTTGGCTTATTTGACATGCTTGTTAAGTAGTAGTGGGTCTGTTCTTTTTACCCCTCCCAAAACGAGGCCCTGGCAACTACATGGGGAGCTTCCTGATTTAATAGTCACACTTAATTAGGCTTGGACGAAATAAGAAGAATGTGCACGATGCCATATTTAGATCACACACAGAAGAGCCAGTCACAAAAGAGTTCATAGAGGTGCATTAAGTCAGTGGTTTACTGCATTTATTTACACAAGAAATAGTTAATTGCTGCCTACCACTTGTTTATTAAAAAAAAAACATTTTGTAGTGTCCTGTGACTTGTTGGTGTGGAAGAGTCCAGAGACTGAGTGTTAACTTTCTATTCTAAAAAAATTGGCATTAGATAATGAATTACAGACTATGTTTATTACTTACAAAAATGCAGCAGATGCTATTTTTACAAGTATAAAATGTGCCGCCAGATTTCTTTGGCATGCTGAGGCTAAATGTACATGATGCAGTAACACAGCACATTTCTTGGGGCAGAAAGAGACAGTTATAGGAATGTGGCTTATAAATCAAGCTTTTTATGGATTTCATGAAAATTGGCCCAAGAAGGTGGTTGCCATTGTTCCCATCCACGACGCTGTTTGTAGGATCAACACCTCAAGGACGAGAGTCGGGTAGGAGCAAATCTCAGAAACCTGTTGAGTTATATAATGAGGCACTCCTACAGTTACCAAGTAATCTGCAGTCCAGTGCTGGGGGGATGCATTGAGCTGATAAATAAGGAATAAATTCAGAGGAGCAGTAGTAGGATCAAGGTTAGTTCACTAGTCTATGCAAATGTTTCACTAGTGACATGGGTATTATACTGAGCATGGCAGATGCAGGCAGAGTTTAAGTTATACAAATTAAATGTTTTGGATTGTTCTATGCCAACATGGCAAGTATGCTATGTTTGTGAACTCATGGACTTCTACTGTGCCTTATTTGTTGCAATGCTCGAGGTAGGGGGTGGACGGAGAAAATGACCCGATTACTATACAACCATTTTGTTTTTAATTCGTCATGCTGACTGGACCATAGCTGAAAATATTCAAGTATGGACAGTGTTTAAGAATAGAACAGTTTTAATATAGAATCAACCCTTTCTAAGCTTAGAAAAATATGGGTGATCAAAGTATAAAATAAATGTTGATAGGGATAAGTCTCTTAGAATAATATTTATAACAAACGTGTCAGTAATTGTCTAGATATAATATATGTCAGTATTGTTATTGAGATCAGAGCAGAAATTCACATAGAATAAACCATGTAAAGAACAATGTGCACATAAAATAAACCATGTCAAGAATAATGTGCACATAATATAAACCATATCAAGAACAGTGTGCACATAAAATAAACTATTTCAGGAACAATGTGCACATAATAAAAACCATGTCAAAAACAATGCACATAAAATAAACCATGCCAAGATGATGTGCACATAAAATAAACCATGTCAACAACAGTGTGCATATAAAATAAACCATGTCAAGAACAATATGGGAAGGGATCAGACCGAGTGTGAACTGTTAAACAGTTTTCACGGGGTTATCTATTTAGTGCCAGTTAACTGAACATTTTATCATGAATGACCCAAAAAATCATAAAGGTGTGTTTGCATTTGAGAAAATGCACTCACATTTAGATGCTTGTATTGTTTACTTGAATGTGAGAAATGGGCAGGCTGGGAACGTATGTGGTTTCAAATGTTGTACTAAATACTCAGAAGTCTTTCATTATGAATTGTGTGTCTGTTCTGAACGATGTACTAGAAATGTTTTATTTGACATGTTGAGTGCATTTATTTGGTGTTTATTCTTGACAATATAAGAATTTGTTTATCTAGCAATATTTTGTAGAAATGCCTGTAACACTTGAGTAAACCTCATTTTCAAAGGGTTAAGAATTGAGCAAGCATGTTCATCTTACATTCTGCCAGTTAATAACATTTAACAGTTTAGCTTTCTTGAAAGTTGAACTAGTTATTTGTATTTGTTTCGTATATAATCTGTGAAAACTAGAAAATTTTAATGGTGTATAATTGTGTATTATCCACACTTGGCTGTCTTTGACTTTGACAGAAATAAGACAGTAGGATATGTATTTTCCACACTGGAGTATTTCTTAACAGGTCTCTTGTTGGAATAATCAGTTATTATGTCTAATTGATGGGTTTAGGTCAGGATTATTATGTAGGTTGATGGATAGGTGACTAGTAGGCAGGTAGTAGGCATACAAGTAGATAAACTCTTGGAGGAAAGGCAACATGGATAGGTGACTAGTAGGCAGGTAGGTAGGCATACATGTAGATAAACTCTTTGAGGAAAGGCAACATGGATAGGTCATCAGACTAGTGCTGTTGGTGTTGGAACTCTGTGCTGGCTGTTGAAGATGAGGGCAGAGTGCTTATGGGAATGTCCAGAATGCTGTGATGTTGGTTTTCAACTCAACTCAAGAATTAGACAGACAGTCAAGCTGAAAGATATATGGAGCAGTGACAAGTGGGTAAATAAGTAGGTCAATCAATTGCCAGATAGACTGACATACAGGCATGATGTAGCTGATAGGCAGAATAATGTACAAGTGAAATATAAAGTGAATCTTTGCAGAACAGGTTATGTCTGTATGAGTGAGATTATGTCCATATTGCATAATAGACTAGTTTATTCTGTATATATAGAACAGTATTTGAATTTATTTCCCCCGAATATGTTTGTGCAACAAGAGTAGAACAGTTTTAGTATATTATTTACGAAGCAGTCGTTGAGCT